GATAGATAGATAGATAGATAGATAGATAGATAGATAGATAGATAGATAGATAGATGATAGATAGATAGATAGATAGATAGATAGATAGATAGATTCATCTGTTTGGGATTTCTCACCAAGTTATTTCAGGCATATACAAGTAGTCCTCAACTTACAACCATAATTGAGCCCAACATTTCTGTTGCTGAGTGAAACATTGGTTAAGTGAATTTGCCCCATTTTACGACTTTTCTTGCTACAGTTGTTAAGTGAATCACTGCAGTTATTAAGTCAATAACACCATTATTAAGTTATTTACACAGTTGCAAGGTGAATCTGGTTTCCTCTTCTAAGAAAGTCACAAAAGGTGACTACACAATCTTGGGACACTACAACTGTCATGAATCAGTGTCTGAATTTTTATCACATGACTAAGGAGATGCTGCAACAGTCGTAAGCGTGAAAATTGATCATAAGTCACTTTTTTCAGTCTCGTAACTTTGAACAGTCACTAAGTGAACTGTTGTAAGTTGAGGACCACCCTTAAGCTCGCCCCCCTTAGTTTCCTCCACGTAATGTGAGAATGATAATATTAACCTCATAAAGTTAGCATTATTGTAAGATTTACTCAGGCATATTTCTATCAGAGATATTGAAATATACAAATAGCAATATTACTTAGACTTATATATTGCTTTATAGTGCTTTCCAGCCCTCTCAAAGCGGTTTACAGAGTCAGCCTATTGCCCCCAACAATCTGGATCCTCATTTTATCCATCTCGGAAGGATGGAAGGCTGAGTCAACCTTGAGCCTGGTGGGATTCGATCTGCCAAACTGCAGGCAGCTGGCTGCAGCAGAAGTAGCTTGCAGTACTACACTCTAGCCACTGCGCCACCGAGGCTCATATATAAATATATAGATTAAATGCTATATATGGACTTTTGAAAAGCCCTTGAAGCATCTGGCATGGGCCAGCCAGTATTCTACTTAGCTCTTCTATGTGGCTCAGTTTATCTCCAAAGGACCATCTTTGAAGACATGTTCTAGATTGTTAACCAAGCCTCTAGATCAGTCCAGAGAAACTTCTAACAACTCCTTTTTTATTTTGCAGATTATTGGAAGAGTCAGCGCTGACCCTGATTACCTGCCTCGAACCTTGGATTTTGGCCTCAATGTGCGAGGCTTCCTGGACCGCTACTGTCCTCCCAGTTGTCCTCCTAGCTTCTTTCCTATCGCTGTTTGTTGCTGTGATTTGGATCCTGAGAAACGGTCAGCAAGTGGAAACAGATGTGTGACATGAGAGAGTTGGGAGCCCCTAGATATGGGGATGAGAGGATATGTGGCTTGGAGAAAGAGATGGTGGGGCAGCCCGGAAGGACGAATTAAGCCAGTGCTTCTCAATCTTGGCAGCTTTGAATGTGTGTGAACTTCAACTCCCAGAATTCCCAGCATGCTACCTGGGGAATTCTGGGAGCTAAAAGTCCACATATCTTCAAGTTGCCAAGACTGAGAAACATTAAGTTAAGGCTTTTCCAGCCTTCCAGTAAATTCAGACTGAGAAGTTCAACTGTTTTTTTCTGCTCCCACATCTAGTTTTGTATTTTTCTTTTGCAACTGACCATCAGTCTCACTAGATGAGAGTCAAGGTTGCTTCCAACCTTTACTGTCTGTGGGTCTACATAAGGATGGAGCAATGCTTTCAACCTTAGCAACATGAAAATGTGAGGACTTCAACTACCAGAATTCCCCAGCCAGCAAGTAGAAATCCTCTATTTTAAAGTTGTTGAGGCTGAGAAAGGATTAGTGTACAGAACTTGGAGGAAACTATTCTCCTTCTTATTAGATCCTGATCCCTATTCAGCATTTCCCCATGTTTAACATTATTCTTGTCCTCTTTAAATGAAGAAACACATACACACAAACACACACACGCTAGGAATTCTGGGAAGTCCATACATCTTCAACCTGCCAAGGCTGAAAAATGGTGTGGTGACTTCAGGCACTGTCTTGGGCCCTCTAGGCCAGGGATCCCCAACCCTCAGGCCGCAGACTAGCACCAATTCACAGCACAGTAAGAAGCAGGCTACACAAGTAAGTGAAGCCCCATCCACACAAGTGTGGGATCCAGACAACATGCGAAACCCCATCTCCCTTGGTCCATGGGGAAAAAAACCCTTCATGGCCAAGTATTCTTCAATATCTTCATTAATGACTTAGATGAGGGACTAGAAGGGGAACTTACCAAATTTGCAGATGATACTAAGCTGGCAGGAATAGCTAACATCCAAGAAGATAGGTTCAAGATCCAGAACACTGGGCCGTATCTAAGAAAATGAAATTCAATGTAGAAAAAAGTAAAGTCCTACACTTAGACAGAAAAACCAAAAGTACACATATAGACTGGGTGAAACCAGGCTTAATAGCAGTAACTGTGAGAGGGATCTTGGAGTCTTAGTGGACAACCAATTAAATATGATCTAGCAGTGTATGGTGGCAGCCAAAAAAGCCAACGTAATCACAAATTGCATTAACAGTGGGATACAATCAAGATCAAGGGAAGTACTAATACTGGTCAATAAAGCCTTAGTAAGAGCACACCTAGAGTATTGCATTCAGTGTTCATCACAGTATAAAAAAGATGTTGAGACTTTAGAAAGAGTGCAGAGAAGAACAACCAAAATGATTAGGGAACTGGAGACAAAAACATATGCAGAACGGTTACAGAAACTGGGCATGGCTAGTCTAGTGAAGAGACGGACTAGGGGAGACATGATAGCAGTCTTCCAATATTTGAGGGACTGCCCCAGAGAGGAAGGGGTCAAGCTATTTTCTAAAGAATCTGTAGGCCAGACAAGGAATAATGGATGGAAACTGAACAAGGAGAGATTCAACCTAGAAATAAGGAGAAATTTTCTGACAGTGAGAACAATCAACCAATGGAACTCTTGTCTTTGGAAGTTGTGGGAACTTCATCACCAGAGGCTTTCAAGAAGAGATTGGACTGCCATTTGTCAGAAATGGTGTAGAACCTCCTGCTTGGGAAGGGGGATAGACCAGGGGTCGCCAACCTTTTGGACCTCAGGGACCACCAAACTCATAACTTTAAATCCCGTGGACCAGAGACCCTGGGAAAATCCCCCAAAAAGTCTGCAGAAAAATTCCCCATCCCATTTTTCTACCTATTGATTATTCTTTATTTGGGATTGCAGGATAGCATCTCCAGCTCCGTTCTCAGGGGCAGGGGAGAGAGAAACTTTTGGCTTCAGGCAAGGAAAGCAGCAGAAGCAGCAGAAGTCTTTCTTTCTCTCCTCCAAACTCCGCCAAAAATGACTCTTTGTGAGACTTGTCGCGCTGGCGTAGCCTCTTGGAGCAGGATGCCTTGCAGGGTCCCAAAGACTCATTTCTGGAGGAGTTTGGGAGAGAGAAAGAAAGACTTTTGCTGCTTTCCTTGCGTGCAGCCAAAAGCAGCAGAAGAAGGAAGCGGAAAGAAGCAGCCTGGTAGCCAGGCCAGGTGCATGGGATGGAGTGGGGCTAGTTCCCCCCCCCCCATCCTTTCTCCCCTCCCCTCAGTACCTCATGTTGTTTGCAATGCAAGTGATGCAAGCCTTGTGTTCCCGTGGGCCATGTAGGTGGCACAGCCTTGTGTTCCTGTACAGCCTAGATTAATTGTTTTTGGGGGTGCTTTGGGGTGACATTTCTCTGCAGATCACCAAAATTTTCTTGCGGACTACCAGTGGTCCCCAGCCCACTGGTTGGCGACCACTGGACTAGACGACCTACAAGGTCCCTTCCAACTCTGTTAATCTAATCTAATCTAAAGTATTTTATCCCTGATGCCCAAAAGGTTGGGGGTGGGGCGTGCTGCTCTAGGCCATTTGGGGCTTTTAGCCTGATCAAGCAAAACCCCTCACGTTCTTCTTCTTTTTCTCCCCAGGCCTTCCTTCAGTCGATTGGAGCAGTGGCTAGAAGCTCTCCGCATGCACTTGGCTATGCAACTTCCCCTGAGTCCACAGCTGGAGCAATTGGACCGGGCCTTCTGGGAGACACACCGGCGAGCTGAGAGTGGACTGTGTGCACATGTTGAAGTGTCTGAATGAGTACAGCAGGGGCAGGCAAGCAGCCCCAAGCCTGCATGTCTCTGTATGAGCTGGGCTGAAGAAAAGCTTCTCTTGCTGAGTCCTGCCACCAGCCGCACGCAGCTCACCAGCGAGGAGCTGGTTTTTGAAAAAAAAAAAAAAACCCACTGGGAGCTGGTTCTCCCTGCTTCCTTCCTTGTGGGATGAGTTCTGTGCCTGGCTTGCACAGAGATGGTCTGGGGCAGCCTGGGTTCTTGTAAATACTCCTTGTGAATACGTCCTTCTCCTTGCGCATCCCACAAAGTGGAGGAGAAGTGAGGGATCCTTGACTTTCTCCTTTCGCGTTTTGTGGTTGCAAAAAGCTTTGCACGCCCCACTGAGCACATAAGCTTCTGTCATCAGCTGGCAGCTACTCACAAGCTGGCATTAAGGTGGGGGCTGCTACCCTGTCCCCCAAATACACCTCTACAGATCCTCTTTAAAAACCTTTGTCCTATCAAGTGGTGCCTTGGGTTTATGTGGACTTGCGTACTTGGATTCTCGAGCCCCACTTCGTTGTTCTGCGAATAGGCCACAGGGTTCTATGCGTGTGTTTAGCATGTGCTTAGCCTTTCCTTGGAAGTTGCAAGACTGAGAGATCTGTGCAGATGTTTGGTCTCTGTTCCCTGGAGCCAGTGTCTTGACTACATTCACACAACATGTTTTGCCCAGTCGGTTGAAGATTGCATTTGCACAATATATTGAGCTTATTGTTACTCTTAACCTTGGTTAGGATTTTATTTTATTTTTTGTATAGCTTAGCATGTTATGCAAACCCAGCCTATTTGATTCATTTGAAGTTGATATATCATGCAAATCCACACACACACACACAAATAGCTCAATCCGGTAACCAGGTGAAATGTGTTATGTGAATGTAGCTCTGTCAATACCCATGTGTGCTGTGTGCATGTTTCACTGTGTGCACACCTTAGCTTCTTCCTTCTGTTCCAACCATGTTTGGCAGAAGTACATAAAGTCCAAAGCTGCTTTTTTTTGGTGAAAAACTATTTCCTAAGTAGGCAGTTTGCCCCAGAGAGAAGCTATGTAAGATAGAGCTGAAACTGTCTCCACTTAGCTCTGCTCCAAATTACCACCGTTTTTAAACTGCTTGCCTACTCTGGAGATCCAAATGTGTGTTAAGATTTTGTTGCAAGATTTAATGTAGGTGTGCACATGCACACACCCATGTGCTGTTAAGCCCTTGAAAAAGCAGTCTGGATTTCTAGAAGGACAGGAAGAGAAGGAAACAACTAAGTCACCCTTCTAAAGGGAGATATTTGCACATCGCTTGAAAATCCAGCCAACTCTTTCCAGGTTCAGGATAGAACCAAGGGATGTACACTCATCCCAGCCTTCCTCAGACTAGTACCAGGCAGATTTATTTTTCACTACAACTCCCAGAACTCCTCAGGCAACATGGCTTTCAGAACTGTGCAACTCCCAGAATTCTTAGCCGGTGGTCTGGAGGCCAGACGAACAAAGGAATTCCGGGAGTTGCAGTTCCAACCCATCTGGAAAGTATTAGATTGGAGAAGAATGAGCCAATCTATGCAGCAGGATCAACAATAAGATAGCATTATTTGGACCCTCATCTGGAAATGGGCAGCAAGTATTTTCCATCTGGGTGATCAGCATAGCAGAAAGGAGCCTTCAGAGGAAGACCAGCTAAATTCATCTTATCCAAGGATCCTCACAACTTAAAGAGATATTTTTTGACTTACCCTTATGGGTTGTGGGGGTACATGACTAAATGACGTCTTGTGCCAAAAAAATTCCCCCTGCGTATTAAAACCCTATATGTCATAGGCAGGAGAACAGATCCTGCTTTTTCCTTATCTCTCAAGCTTTTTGTGGACATGAAGGAGCCACTCAAATCTGCTATTTGGAAAAAGGCACATTCCTGTATTATTTAGTGTAACACGAGGAGATTGACTTGATTGTCTTTAGAAGGCAAAAAATGGAGCTTTTTCAGTTCCTGAGAGTGCATTTGTAAGTACCTGAACCATGAAAGACTTCCTGGGTTTTCAATACTAACAGTGTGGGTGGCCATTGGGAAAAAAATAGACCATTTTCTCTCCTGGTATTCTAGCACCCAGGACAAACATGGGTTGTGCAACCCAAGTACAAGAAGGTCAGGCAGGAAGACTTGAAGGAGTTTAGCCATGCCAGCTGAGAAATCCCTAGGGACAACCTACCTCTGATTATTAGTGCTGGTAAGAAAAGGCAGGTCTAGATATCAGTTTCTGGGCTTCTGATTGTCTGGTTAGCTGCTGAGGGAGACAACGTGGATCCTCTTAAACTCTTCCCAGTGGGCTCCTGTTCTTTTCAAGGGAACACCAGCATCTTTTTCATTTTAATTGAAGGCCACGTTACAGTTACAGTTGGGTTTTTTTTAGGAGGAGGGAAAGAAAACATTCTTTGCAATCTCAAAATGAATTCCCTCCATAGACTTGTGATCCAGCTTTGTTAAGTCACTATGTGCCAAACTTGCATACAGACATCTTGGCTTTTTTTTAAAAAAAAAGGTAAATTTCCTGGATCTTCTCGCTTAGAAATGGGGAAAGTTAACAATGGTGGTCTGAAATTCTGCAAATGCAGAAGTAGGAAGCAGTTCTCCTCAATCCATGGTGCATGTGTAACTGTGCCGCTTCTATGTCCTGAACTACATGGAATTGGAAGCAGTTGTTACAGTATGTGGAGTGCCCCTAGATTATTAAATGAACCACAAGGAACCATAAGGACTAAATCTAACATGAATTTGAAACACAGGTTCTTGTAGTTACCTATTTCTTCTCTTCTCACTTTCCTGTCGCAAACTGAAAGTTATGTATAACATTCACTGTATGATTTGAAGGATTTGAGGAAATAGCACAAAACTCTGACCTGAGGAGAAATTTCAAGTATATCTGATTTTTTTTTAACAAAACCTGCCCAGTATCTAAGTTCATTCTTCAAAGAGTCAAGATGAAATGAAGACTCCCTATTTAAGAATAGCATACCTCAACTCTGTGTATTAGATTTGGAGAAAAACTTTGTTAAATTTTGATTTTGCATATTTTTGAAGCTTCCAGACTGATACATCATTTTATAAACATCTGTTAGAAAAGGCGAATGCTCATATTTTTTGTGAAAGTGCATTTCATGTTTGATGCAAAAGATGACAGACCTTGCGTATTTTATGAATGATCTTCAGAGGTATAGTATAAGCAAGTATCTCTGCTCCATTGGCACCTCTATGTACATCTATAGAAATTAAGTGTTTTTCTCGAATTTTGACAGCCACTTAAAACTGTGCCCCAGAGTGTGGATGTTGCATTTATATTTGTGTGGGGACCATGACACTGAGCCTGATGTGGTCTCTCCCAACTATGGCTGTGCGTAAGAGACACTCTTCTCATGCAGAAGATCTGGTGGTTCTATCAAGAAAGAAGAGACGCTGGAGGTCTGCAGTAAAGGGTAAAAGAGGAATCTGTTTCCCCCAGACTCAATGTATCTCTTGGATAAGAGAGTCCCTTTGTTATCTGATGGCCTAAAAGCCATTTAGAAGTTCTGACTTCTAAATTAATGCCTGCAATCTTGGTTTTGGACCATATTTGACTGTCATAGACATTATCTTGTCATAGACAGTGACAAGGAGTTTGGTTTCCATCTTCCATGTGTTTTCCATGCTGTTCCCCTAATTGTTTTACACTCTTCAGGTGCTGCTGATTGCAGCCAGCAGGTGGGCAGTTTTCCTGAGTCAGGCAGCTCTTCCACATGACTCTGGCACACTTGGGGTTGTGTAGTCCCTGTCGTTCCTGCCACTCAGGGTCATTGCTCTGTAACATAACTGAAGAGAAGAGCTTGTATTATTTGTTCACCAGTCAACCTTGGTGAATTGGGGAATTTATCATATCAGTCTGCCTCAGTTGTCTTTAGAAGTGTTAAGGGAAGGAAAAGGAACATGAATTAGACAAAGACTGTGAAATATTTATTCGCACTTTGAAAATGAAATGTGATGCCCTCTGATGACAATGATCAGAATTCACAAAACTGTGATGTAAAATTAATTTACATGGAAATAATAAAAGTCCTTCCACTCCCTTGTTCAAGCCACCTATTATTTTCTTCATGACATTTTTATGGAGGATATTTGAAAGTTTTTCAGATCCCTTTGCTGGCATTCAGGACAGCCACACAGAGTTGTGCTCATTGATCTGGATCCATTCCTTCATCCCTCCACTCTTAAGAAGTGGGCAAATCTTAAACATAATCTCCATGCTGCCTTTCTCCAGGAGGCCAAAGTCAACATCGTAGATATGTGGTGAAAGACTTGCCAAGCTTGTCAACTCTCGCCTCATTCCTAATATTCTAGATAACAATTATCAAGCCACTTCCTGATTTAAATCAACACCGAGCTCCCTTACAAGGGTGTTAGTTGGTGTGCAAGGCAATAATTCTGGGTGAAAAAATTGGAATTGCTTCAAATGACCTGGAAATATATATATTTTACCTCAACTTTATTCTGGGCCTCTATTTTGAGTTTTTTTCCCTTCACATCTGAATTTTTAACATCTTAGAGCCCCACTGTATTTTGTTATATACTGCAGGACATCAAGGAAGCTTTATATAAAATCTATTAATTGAAATCCTAATGTGTTCTTGCTTTTTTCAGGAAACTAAAGAGTGCACATCCTCTTCCCAGCATTCTTAGAAAGTAGGTTACATTAGAGGTCAAGCCAAAATTAAACCCAAGTTTCCCATTCTGGCTGGTTACAAGGTTATTGGTTTCTTCAAGCCTATTCATAAAGTTCTGGTTAATCTGTAATCAGTGATAGGAGCAGGCAAAATACAACCTGTGATTATTAGTTTATTGCCAGAGAGTAACATTAGCTGTCAATTTAGGATTGGGAGTTCAGTGTCAAGAAATATTTTCCTTAATTTTTTGGACATCCCTTTGGATATCCCTTGGAAGGCCCCTTGCTGTTCCTTGCTTATTCTTAGAAGTCTTTCTCAATCTTGGCAACTTTAAAATGTATGGACTTCAACTCCTTGCTGGCTGGGAAATTCTGGGTGTTGAAGCCCGCACATCTTAAAAGTTGCTAAACTGGAAGAAACATTGCTTTGGAAGCTGCACCTATCTTCCTTCAACCAGGCAGCAGGGGCACATCCTTCTGTCCTTGAGCTGGGAAAGAAGTCCATCAAAATAATTTGGACTCTCCACCATGTTTTACTTCTCTTCAACAAGACTGGGAAGTGAAGTGGTCCTTGCATACTTAATTTTTGCTGCAGAGTAGCAATCTTTGGATTCCTCGGCTTCCTTTTCCTTACCACATACATTCACATATCAGTGGGAATAGCAACTCCCAATCATTCTGTGTAGCATGCCAGGACATGTTCAAAGGGGCATGTTCTCATGATGCCACCTCCAGCCCAGCCTAGTCCAGCCCAGCCTTCAGCAGACAGGCAACCAGAAGTCTGTAGTGGTACCACTGGTAAGGTAGAGTTTTCAAAACCTACCTTAAATCTAGGAATAAACATATTTGTATTGGAATGTCCTTTTTGCACATTGACCTGAGCAATGGAACCTGAATTTCCCTGGCAACAGGAGCCCTGGATGGTGAATATGTTGCTTCACTGCCTTGGTTGGTGACTGTCCAAAAGTATCTTCTGTACCAAATACTGTAGAAGGCCAGTTCCACTTTTCAAAGAGTATCATTTCCCCACTGTAGGAAAAGTAGGTACTTTCCAACCCAATGACATACCTTCTGTGGTAGATGTGGCTCTCTTGCATGAATTAGAGATCTCACTGTTTTGATGCAATGCAATCACAGACCAATCCCCACCATTAAATCAAAGAAGACTTTCATACATCACACCTGGAAAAGACTTTGGTTCAATATTAAAAAAAAAAAACTCAAGTCTCAAACAGGCTCATTGAAATTAGCTACTTTTATTGGTGGGATTAAAAAATAAACTACTAGAATGTATAAACCTATATATATATATATATATATATATATTACAACCTTTCAATAAATATTTCTCAGCCCCAGACAACAGATATATATTTTCTCTTTTTTATAGGAAAATATTAAGATTTGAAACATGAATGAATAAAGCAGAAATGCTGTTTGGGGGTTCCTAAACATCCTACAACTCTCATACACACTCATATTTTGTTACTCCTGGGACTAACCCAGCAATTAAGGCAGTGAGAATAAAGGAATACAATGTTTTGGAAGCATTGTTGAGAACACACAGTACTATGCATTCAGAAGCATCCACGGGACCGGAAGGAAGAGGGAGGAGTTAAAAAAGCAAACTTCACAATTGTGTGTTCAAAGCCCTGTCCCTTTTTTTTTACACACTGTGATGCAATACACTTGAAAGGGGGCAGGATTTCCAACACATAGTTGCAAACACTCTCCTGAATGTATTAAAATCTCCCTCCCCCCCATATCACTGTATGCATTTCAGAATCCCAGCACTACATCTAATAGCCATCATGTTTTATGCTTAGCATCTAACCACAGCAGCATATCTTCACAACACGAAGGTTAAAAACTTTTTTTAAAAAATGATTGAAAAGAAAAGATAATTTTGGGGCTATTTCCTTTAGTTTTCTGCACTTTCAGTTATGGCACAAGAACAGTCCTCCTTGTATGCAACGCGGAAGGTGGACTGAAGCGAAGGGGGAAAATCACTTGTCTGAATGTGCTAATGGCCATCCTTATGGACAACTGCTTCAGCTTTCACTATGCCTCAATAGGAAATAATAAAATGTTTAAATAAGGTTATAAATAGTGATACTTTAGAGTAGGCGTTTGCCTTCATCTATGTAAACAATTCAGAAGTGCAAATGCCACCTATGTGTCCTGGAGGATAAATTAATAATAAAAAGTAATCAATAATTCATAATAAGAACATCAAATGATAGCATCACAATATCACAATGGGAAGATAACAATGTTAGTTTCAGATAGAGGACTGTTTAACAGTACCAATCAAAAGATTCCCCATTCCCAGTTTTTCTTCACGTTATAGGGGGGAAATGGAAGAGAAATATAGGGTGTTTACTAGTAAAAATTACATTCTCATCCCCCCCAAAACAAACAAACCAGGTTAATTGCACAAGAAAAGCCTTAACTGGAAGCACCTCTATAAATATTGAAGCCAAGAGTATGGGGTCAGCTTCTGTAATAGCAGTTTGCTCTACCAATACTACCAAGTAGTAATATTTCCTCCATGCAATGAAAAACATGTTTATGTATATCAAGATATCTTTAAAGCACGGAAGCAAGCCAGGTTATGTTAGACTAAGGCTAGACTTTTCCCCCACCCTGGTCAGTTGGCAATCCTATTGCATTTGGAGCTGGGTGGAAAGGACTGGTTAAAATATAAGGATTTCTTATTTCCAAACCTTGGGGGCCTTTCTTTAATCAGAAGTTCCTGCAGGTGAAATTATAATTGTTACTATAGAGATGGTTCTATGATGCCCAGTGAGTTCTGAACTTTCTAGATAAAATAACCAGTATTCGGCTATTCTTGGCCCAGCTTACAAGTCTGTTTGGATCTGGATTCATTGACATTGTGACAGCTATTATGACAGGCAGGTGACTGTTATGACATTCAAAGAGAATGAGACATAAGGGTACTAACAGGTATCTATCAACAATTGACTCCTACAGAGCCTCCATGGCTAGAGGAAAGACACCACTAACTACCATTGCTACTAACATGAGAGCTTTGGTCTGATCCAGCGTGTTCTCATGCTGTGCTGGCCTACAACTGAAAGATTGTTAGCTTTATTCAGAAGCATCATCTTTTTGCTTCAACAGGTGCGTGTCCTATGCTACTCGCCTGCATTTTGAATTCTTCTCCATCCTCTGCCAATCCTTTTTGCGTCCCTTTCACCGTGGAGCCTACAGGGAGAAAAGGCCCATTCCATGAAAGGCCGTCTCATACTTCAGCTCCAAACTGGAACAGCAGGTGGCTTTCTTGGGGTTGCACCCATATCTCCAGTGAGATCACCTTGGTTTTTCTCAGGGCACTTTCCATCGGCACTGCTCCTTGAAAGAGGAAAAGGCCTTGCTGCCATAGTTGACCATCAGGGTTTCTGATGGTCCTTTGAAACAACCTTGAAGTGAGGAAGACCTAGAGGATGGGTTGGCTGTTTCTCTTCTTTTGAAAGTATCTCACCCACATTTTCTGTGAGCCACCAATCAGCTGGTTTGAGAAAGATGTGTAGCTTTGTTCTCTGGGATCTTCTTTCAAAAGTGTAACGGCAACATGCATGGTCGGCAGCGACGGATTTTTTTTTTTTTTTTTTAGCAGATTCAGAAGGCTGATCCCCACAAGAGCAGCAGCATGCAGTTTCTAAGGACTGACCCTCCAGAAAGGGGGGAGTGCCAGGCAATTTTTTTCCCAGACTTTTAGGAAAATTTCCATTTGGAATAAGCCACGCATTACAAGATCCACTTGCTGAACAGTCCTAATTTAGGTAGCCTTGATTGAGGGAATGAGCTGATACACACAAGAGACACAGTCACTTAAGACACATGGGAAGGAACGATTTCGAATGAAACTGAATACTCCTTGCAAGAAGCTTGGTTACTTTGCACATCAGCAGCAGCTGGGTATGCATGGCTGTGCGTGGGACAGTAAATTCCTGTTTATCTTACTTTGATAAATAGCTCGAAAAACTTAAATAAAATTAATAGTATTAGCTTGCAAAAACTATATTACGTCCATGTTTTGACTCTCACTTACGAGGAGATAAATATAAAATAGAACAAAACAAGAGTTTTTGCAAAGGGAGTGCTCATGTATTTAATTCAGTCAAAAGTTTCTCAGTGCAAGATTTTGGCAGCTCCCATTCATTTCAATTGGACTAATAATGAGAAACTTAATTGCTGGCTTCTGCCTTCAGATTTTCCAGAAGGATTTTTTTTTTTAAATAATCCCAACATCTGATGTGAGGCTGAAAGTTCTCCATTTTACCATCTTATACATCAGAATTTTGTCATTTCATCTCACGTGTGCATATATTTTTGCCAATAATTTCAAGATGGACTTGGAGAAAATATCTTGTGTTTTGTGTATGCCTGCTTTTTTTCACACTTGCATCTTTTTGACAACTGGGTTAGAAAGGAACCCGAGCAGAATCTTGTCAACCACAGTTGCTGGTACAAATTATCATAGTCTGCTGTCAGATGAGAGTTAAGTTTCCTTTCAGTGCTGTGATTGCAGAATAGTTTGTCTCTGCACTCCACAGAAAAATCACCACAATGATAATCAGCAGCCAGACTGGATGGAGAAAGGAAAAGTTTCCTTGTGTTAGAAGGTTGTGGTAGCATCTTGAAGCCTTTTTGGGTTTCTTGTTTCTTAGTGGGGTAGGTAATTGTAGAACTTTGGTTTTAAGGCGATTTTGCAGCAATTTATGTTTGTCAAGGACCAAGTACTAGAGATGGGGTGAAATTCAGAAGGATGTAAACATTTTCTGCTTTGGAAAGATGCCAGCCAGCAGGGAGAAAAAAATATACTGGGGGGTGGATTTCTGATTACGATGAATCTTCCATCTGCTGTTGGATTTTCTGCAACCTTTCCTGCAGCCTTCGTAACTGAAAGGAGAAAAATAAACTAGGAATTTATCTGCTTAATTTTTCTGTGGAAACTGAATGCCCAGAGCAGTTTACAAAAAAATAACTCCTCCCACCAGCCAAAAGTACAAAATTGAAAATACCAGAACACATACTTTACAGAAAATACCAGAACACATACTTTACAACAGGGGTCGCCAACCTTTTAGACCTCAGGGACCACCAAACTCATAATTTTAAATCCTGTGGACCAGAGACCCTGGGAAAATCCCAATAAAAGTCTGCAGAAAAATTCCCCATCCCATTTTCCTACCGATTGTTCATTCTTTATTTGGGTTCTCAGGATACCGTCTCCGGCTCCGTTCTCAGGGGGAGAGAGAGAGAGAGAGACTTTTGGGTTCATGCAAGGAAAGCAGCAGAAGTTTTTCTTTCTCTCCCCCAAACTCCTCCAGAAATGAGTCTTTGTGAGATTTGTTGTGCTGGCACTGGGGGGTGCTCTGTCTGGGGCGACATGTCTTTGCAGACCACCAAAATTTTCTCAAGGACCACCAGTGGTTCCTGGCCCACTGGTTGGCGGCCACTGCTTTACAAGACAAATTAAACTGATCTATAAAGCTATGTCTAAAACACACTTAAACATGTGTTCTAAAGCTGATAAGAATAGAAGTCAAATGTAGCTTAAAAGGAGTATGTTCCAGATCCACAGGTTTCTCTGCTCAGAGTCAAACAATGGGCTCTGTACTCTTTGCCATAAAACTGTGTTTCTCAAGCTACTTTAAGAGGTGCCAGTTCTGCTCTCAGAATTCTGGGAATTGAGGTCCGCACCTTGTAAAGTTGCCAAGGTTGACAATCACTGCTACAGATTCATATTATACAATGCCTATAGCTAGTCCCTGACCAACCCTGGGTTAGCATGTAGGAAGAACCCATATCATTCAGTTACTTTACAGAACAATATATTACGCGAACTTGAAATACGGATTAAATCAGTACCCAGATGAAGTGCACTGTACCTTTAATGTGTTAAGCCATCAAGTTTAATAGGCCTAGGAAACATTTCCCCACATTTAAAAGAAGAAAAAAGTGGGAGGCAGAATTTTTGTTCGTTTATTTATTTCTATCTGGTTGGTCATTCTGCTGTTTACCCTTTTAAAAAATGTTTTCAAGAATTAAAGGCATAAAACAGCTTCCCTAGTCAGGCTATACAGGTAGTCCTCAATATATGACCACAACTGAACCCCAAATTTAAGGTTGCTAAGTGAAACACTTGTTAGGCGAGTTTGCCCCATTCTATGACTTTTCTTGCCACCATTGTTACACTTAAGTTAGTGACATGGTTGCTTCCCCATTGACTTTGCTCATCAGGAGATTGCAAAAGCTGATCACGTGACCCCCAGGACAGTCCATCCGTCATAAATATGAACCATTTTCCAAGTGGCTGAATTTTGATCCTGTGACCACGGGGAATGCTGCAACAGTTGTAAGTGTGACAAATGGGCATTAAGTCATTTTTTTCAGTGCTGTTGTAACTTGTGTTAACAGTCACTAAATGAACTGTTGTAAGTCAAGGACTACCTGTATGTTTGCAAACTTTCAAGCACCAGCAATCTTCCCCCAAACAGTACCCCATTATTCACCTCCTCATCCTTCTCCCGGATCAGTTTCTCTGTCTCCAAGTCTGGCATCGTGGGCGTGGATGGGATGGGGAAATCAGTCCCACTTTCTCGGGTTAGCTTGCTGTTTTTTGTTTTCAAAAAAACAAAACCAGAAAAGAAATAAAAGAGGAGGAAATATATTAAAGTGTTCCCAGAGAAAAAGTGGCAAAAAAAATACTTGGGCATGCAATCCCACAAGATATCCCATTTGCTTCCCCAATCAAACTGCTGTATTTGGTTTCCACCAAACCTTTTCTGTTACTTATTCCATGATATAATTCTAGTCTGGCTTCCCCCAGATCTTGCAAAGGCAATTAATAGTTCCACATTCATTTTTGGAAAAACTTCCTGATGGGAGGAAGGGTTTGATGGTAGAACAAATTATCAAGAGAGGAAGCAGAAGGGAGGCTGGATGGTTCTAAGCCTGGAGTCTTTTGTCGGGATCTACATAGAAAACCGGTTGAAGATAGGACTTTGAGGCTATTAGCCCTTTCCAAATCATTTTGAACAATCAATCAGAATGGAGCTGGAAGGGAATTAGAGGTCTTCTAGTCCAACCCCCCGCTCAAGCAGGAGACCCTATACCATTTCAGACAGGTGGCTATCCAGTTTTTCCCTTGAAAGCCTCCAATGATGAAGCCCCTATAACTTCTGAAGGCAAGGTTAATTATCCTCACTGTTAGGAAGTTTCTCCTTAAGGCCAGGTTGCTTCTCTCATTTATTTATTTATTTATTTACTTACTTACTTACTTACTTATTTATTTGTCAGTCAAGTGGTTAGAAAATAACAGGTATAAGTATAAACATAGTTATGAATACATGAAATGGATACATATAAGAAAAATAAAAAGAAACAATAGGACAGAGATGGTAGGCACAATTGGTGCGCTTATGCACGCCCCCTACAGGCCTCTAAGGAAAGGGGTGAGGTTAACAGTAGACAGTCAAAGGTTAAGGTTTTTGGGGTTTGGGGAAGAAACCAGAGTCAGAGTATTCCACACATTGACCACTCTGTTGCTGAAGTAGTATTTCCTGCAATCAAGTTTGGTGCCTTAACCTTGAGTTTGTATCTATTGTGTTGTTATGGTTGAACCTGAAGTTTTCATTGACAAGTAGGACATTGCAATGTATTATTTTATATACTATACATAGATCGGACCAAAGGCAGCGTAGTTCTAGGTTTTCTAGGTCTAGAATTTCAAGTCTGGTGGCATAAGGTATTCTGCAACGAGTAGAGGAGTGGAGAACTCTTCTTGTGAAATATTTCTGGACTTTCTCAACTGTGCTAATATCAGATATGTAATGCGGGTTCCAGACTGATGAACTGTATTCAAGTATTGGTCTAGCAAATGTTTTGTATGATTAGTTTCCATCCATTGTTTCTTGGCGTGCTCTCTGGTGCTTTGGAGGGTAGGTTGACTCCCTCTTCTTTGTGGCAGCCCCTCAAATACTGGAATATCATGTCACCCCTAGACCTTCTTTTCTCTAGACTGGCCATACCCAATTCCTGCAACTTTTCTTCTTATGTTTTTGTCTCCATTTCTTTAATCATCTTAGTTGTTCTTCTTTGCACTTTTCCCAATGTATCAACATCTTTTTTGCAATGTTGTGACCAACATACTAAGCTATATAGGCTATAGTACTATCAACTGGAAGAGCAGTACAAAGCCAACAAAATGCATGATAAATTTAGTTTATTGCCCAAACCAAGCTAAGATGGCTTGTTCAATAAATCACAATTAAAATAAACATATCTTAGTGTCATGTGAACTCTGTCTAAAACCCAGAACTTGAAGAACCAATGATCTGTTTCAATTAACTTTGAAGGAATTCCTGAAATTGCAATAGGGATTTTGCTTAAGAAGAAGGGATCAGCTTAAGAGATGGAAGGGGTGAGCTTCATTTTCAATGTTGCCTCTTCAAAGGATTTCTCTTTTTAACAGCAACAACTTTGGATGCTCATATATGTTCATCAGAAGTACACTAATCCAGATAAAGTATAGAGAAAGAAACTCTCTGCATTGCCTTTGGAGAGACAATGTTGCTTCTTCATTTTTTTATGACTAATCTCTCATCCCACCTTACCTTACCCCATGTCCAACAGAATTATTGAGCACAACAATGAAAACCAGTGTATATGTACTGTCATAATAGCCTTTAAGTGGTGAAAATTCCTAATACGTGCATTGTGCAGCATCCATGTTAACACCATTTGAGGTCTATGTGTTCTCACCCTTGAATCGTAACTCAATGCAGAGTACATACATCGTCTACAGAAAGACTTGGATTCTGTTCTGGAATCTCTGCTAGAAAGTGATGGAAAAAAACCTACTCTCTGTCAAAGATCCTGGAGAACTGCTGCCAAAGGAGACAAAACTGGACTTCATCTGGAATGGAGGAATGGAGTGACTTCATCCAGAAGTTCACTTTGTGAACTAACCTTCCAATGGTCTTGGGACCAAAAAAGGCTAAGCAGCTACCTGGAGCCTGAGACTTTTTTTTTTTTTTGAAGGACTTGGTTTGGTAAGTCATGAATCAAGATGCTTCCTAACGCTTCTTCTCTGTTATCATTTCACGGATCAGGAGATCATTATGGAAAGTACATTAGACTGCAAATTCCCCAACACTCACCCCCCCACACACACACTTCCAGATTTTCCCTTGGCTTTGTGGATTGTTCAGTGCCCTAATTTTGTGCACGCGCAGAGGGTGATACTGATCTTCTCCTGCCATCCTGCTCTCTCCCTATGTGTTCGACAGCTGACACGTGGCAATCTGCTGTTACGTGCGAAGCAACTGAGCTTCAAAACCAGGAAATAAAGATCAGTATAAAGCCGGGGTGGTGGGTGGGCCCAGCAGCTGATCATCGGAGTGAATCGGTTCCCTCACACATGATCCTCAGAGCTACCAGTTCGGCTGAACTGGGCTGAACCAGTAGAATACCACCCCTGGCTGTCCCTAGATAGTTTGAGAAGTCTAACAGCTGCCAATACTTGCCACACAGAGAATGTTCTGCTCTGCAGTTTAACACACACAAACCAGTGCAAAATAGCAGCAGCACATAATAATAATTTCTTGAATGTGCTACCTCCTCAGTATCCTTACTAAGGTTTCTTTTTTCTTCTTTTTCTACACCTGCATTCCTTTCCACCCAAAGCTTATTTCCCTTTGCTTTCACACTAAGTTCCTTCCAGCATTCAGATTGCAAACTGGAGCAGTAGTACAGAGTTACAAAGGATCATCAGGTTCATGCATTCAACTGGTTAAGCTCCCAGATACTTAGTATTAACTCAAGGACCACCCAAGCAGATTTGCACATTTCATTAAAAAGCATAAAATGTGGGATTTAAAGGTACTTGTAATCTGTCTCACATGTAATCTGCTTAATCAACCTGTCTTACCCTCCTTCCTCGACTTTAATCCCAATTTAAATCCTCCATCTTTCAAGCCACTCGATGCATCCAATGAAATCAGATGCAAGTCACAAAAGCTTATACCATCTAATAACATGTATTAGTCAGAAAAGGGACTAACAGATTTTCCTCTGATGTTCTGCCAATTGAGACTAAACCAGTTTTTCATTTTAGAGTTACCAAGGTTGAAAACACTGGACTAATCCACCTCTCCTCCAACAGCTACAGCAGAATATCCAGGGATTATTATTACACAATTATTTTGTAAGCTAAAACAATACCCCATTGCTTATTTCTTAATTGTGCACCTAGCACATTGAGAAACATTCTGGCTGCTCAGACTTCAACATGGCTGCTATGAATAAAGTGAAGCATCTTTTCCAGTTAACCACAGCTGGACAGAGTGAAATAGTGGCAAAAAGAGGAAGAGACGCAGTAAGACCTAACAAGTCAAGCTTTGGGAAGAACAGAGCCAATGAGTTAGCAGGATAGATTTCAAGGAAGTGTGAGAAAACAAGCAAGATCTGGGGGAAATCGAATATGAGTTAATTTCATTGTTTCACTGCTAATCATATTATTTAGGCATGTTAATAATACCATCATTCATTCGTAATTAGTAATTAGATAATGAAAGAATCTGTTTTAATATAAGCATGTGTATTAATAGTAGAAGTACATGGATTGGATGAATGGAATATGAATAGATCTACCATATATGTTTAAATGATATTGTGATTGATATTAGAATTGTATAGTGAAACACTGAACAATGAAAGAATGAAGGATGAAACTTTATTATATATAGATGTGAAGTGTTAAATAAGGGAAATATGAATAATAAAGCAAGTGAAAGATGGAAGACAGAAAAGAAATGTCTTTGAATAATACGATGACATGAATAAAAGTTAGAATAGAAATAGAAATAAGAGGGGAACAACAATTTTAATATAACAACATATATGTAATAAAAACGAGGTTTAGAAATTGAGTGGTGGTAGTATTAGATATGTTTAAACAATATGAAGCAATGAAAATGAAATGTAATAACTATGAGTAATAATATTATGTTTATTTGTACTAAAATGTATGATACCCAGGTATCACACTGTTCACACATTGATATGTATAAGCACTATAAAATAAAAAAACTTGACAAAAAGAAAAGAAAGAAAGAAAAAACAGAATCTCAGGAAAGGTTTATCCAAGACCATCCTTGATAAGTCAGCAGGATGGTGAGCTGAAGAAGGCCTCTAAGGAAATCAACGAGCTACTAAGTGTTCTATTTTGTCTCATGATTTTGATTTTCCCAGCCGTACTGTAGAACACCTCCCATTTTTTATATTCAGCGTATCCATGGCTACGTCAACTGGAAAACTGGGAGAAGTGCGAACCACATTTTTGAAAGTTACTGGGTTTGGGGGGAAATGGGGAAAGTTAAGCAACCAGACTCAAGTATGTTTCTCTAACAGGACAATTCACTGAAAACCTCAATGCCCAATAAAAGCTGTTTTTTCCTGCATTCACTTTGGTGACCTTTCTGAGTTTAAAAGATGATAGATAGATAGATGATAGATAGATAGATAGATAGATAGATAGATAGATAGATAGATAGATAGATAGATAGATAGACATACATACATATATATATATATATATATTTGCTTGCACTTGTATTTATATTACATCGCCTATCTACAGATATATCTATTAGCACAAAATTGTACAAACCAGGAAAATGGATTTCAATGTACATAATTTATTCTGTTTGCAATAGAGTGCCTATCCATCTGTTGTTATAATAAATACCTGCCTAAATCATCATTTTTTAAAAAAAATCTGTGAATTTAAGCCAGCATTAATTTTCCTTGATGAACTGCCTCCGTCAGACTCTGATTCCACCTGAGAATTTTTAAGGTCGCTTTGCCTGTCTTTCCTCCTCATACCTGTTGGAGAGGCGGTTACAACAAGGTTATTGAACATGGAGAGGAGGGGTGTTTCCCACCGTTCACATCTCCTTCATCCTTCTCAGCTGCTCCGTCTGCCCAGATCCCCTCCCCTCCAGTTCCTCCTCCTCCTCCTCATTCTTCCCAGGACCCTCTAACTTACTTGCGATTCCGCTCTTTCACCACCATGCGAGTCATGCTCTGAATGCACTGAGCCCGGTAGTTTTCATAGTGAGTCTCCCGAGTCACGTCCTTCAGGTCCTGCATATGAGTCCTTACCAGCATGGTGCGCAGCTTCACAAAATCACAATGCATAGGGTTCTCCACTGGCAAAAAGAATGCAGAGTGAAGTGAGTGCCATTCAAGACCACATATGCAGGGATTACAATACTTACAAGATAAGACAACACAGTATCAACAGCAGAGACCTTCACATTTCTAGGTTCTATCATATCACAAGACCTAAAAGGGACACCTGACATCAAAAATGTCATCAAAAAAGCACAGCAAAGAATGTTCTTTCTGTGCCAACTCAGAAAGCTCAAACTGCCCAAGGAGCCACTGATACAGTTCTATAGAGGAATTACTGAATCTATCACCTGCACCTCTATAAGTGTCAGGTTTGGTTCTGCAACCCAACAAGACAGACAGACCCCAGAGCAATTAGGACTGCAGAAAAAATCAATTACTACCAACCTGCCTTCCATCAAGGACCTGTATAATGCTCCAGTCAAAAAGAGGGCTGTGAAAATATTTACAGACCCCTCACACCCTGGACATAAATTGTTTCAACTCCTACCCTCAAAACAGCGCTGTAGAGCACTGCACACCAGAACAACCAGACACAAGGACAGTTTTTTCCCGAACACCATAATTAAACAAATAATTCCCTCAACACTGTCAAACTATTTACTAAGTCTGCATTGCTATTACTATTAATCCTCCCATCCTTCCTTTCACCCATCTCCTCCCACTTATGACTATATGACTGTAACCTTGTTGCTTGTATCCTTACAGTTTTTATTGACTGTTTCCTAGTATGATTGATTGCTTATTGTACCCTGTGACTATCATTAAGTGTTGTACCTTATGATTCTTGACGAATGTATCTTTTCTTTTAAGTACACCGAAAGCATTTGCACCAAGACAAATTCCTTGTGTGTCCAATCACACTTGGTCAATAAAGAACTGTATTCAGATGGTCTCTTAACTCAACGATCTCAAAACTGGAAACAAATCCATGGGAGATGAAAAGCCGATTGAGGGCTTTTAGCAACTAGAGTGAAATGGAGCCTGTCTGGGGAATTGCTGAATGTCAAGACTGGCAGGCAAAACATAAAGGCAAAGCTTATTGTTTCCTATTTTGCTTGTAACCTTTTAGTTCCTCTTACATTCTTAGGAGTCTGCACTCCAGAGAGACCTGGCCAGTCCAAGATAAGACTCAACCCTTTGCCACTCCCACTCACACATTTGGAGGAAATACTTTCATATGCACAATGATCAGCTTTAAGTGATTTTGCTGGAGATCTGTTGATGCCATCTCTTCCCTTTTTCCTTATTACAAAAATGCAAAAGTAAGTACCCCCTTATAACAAACATTGCAATTATTGTTTTAGTTTTCCTAAGGGTGATATGCCAAAGGTCCCTCTCTCTAAGCTGCCAGTAGGGGTTGTGGACAGGGCCTCCTCTGTAATAAACTGAAGAACATTTTAAACCAGCTGTTAGATTCAGCACCTTAATTCACCACCGTTTTAGGTAGTTTCGCTTTTTTGAGTGGTCTCGTCTATAATATTATTTATCAAGAAAGATTATATATTTTCTCAATCTCTCTTAGAATCTTAGAAAAACAGAGTTGGAAGGGGCCTTGGAGGTCTTCTAGTCCAATCCCACTTAGGCAGGAAACCCTATACCATTTCAGACAAATGCTTGTCCAATCTTTCTCTCTCTCACTCCCCATCTACCTACCTATTGGCTTTCCCAAGCTATGTTTGAGTCCGATTCATTTTTAGGCATACAACAAATCTTGAAATTCAGCATACTTCAAATCCAACCTTTTAAAACTGGATTTTCAAGTCCAACAGGGACAAAAGGATAGGATGGGACCAGGGTTGGCTCTACCCTTGAACAGACTGAAGCAGCCACCTTAGACAGCAGGTGCCAGGACACAGTGAAGGTTGTTTGCTACATGGCTTGTGTTGCTTCTAAACTAGTCTTTGGCCTTCAATGCACTGAAGAAGGCAGTCTCAACTGTAACACACAAGAACGATTCAACAACCAGTCCATTTGGTTTTTGGATGGGATAGGAGAGATGCCATCTTGTTCTTTGCCTCCCACATCTGCACTGGGGACATCTGCAGGGTGATTTAAGAAGGCCAAGGACGACACAACTGCATAACTGAAGCCCCACTATGTTGTCAAGTGGATGCAAAAAAAGGCATCTGGCTTTGACTGGGTAGTTGTGCCCACCATCTTGACTTTTTTGACAGTCCATGGGAACGTCCCTGTAATAAAACATTGGGATTGCCGAGAGGTGGCATCTAGTCAATATTCTCCCTCATCCCTACCTCCTGATTTTTCCAACAAGATAAGGGACAAAACTACCGCACTGAGCCCATGCTTCCCACAAAACGGCTAATTTAATGCTTGGGGACAGGAAGCTTTTATTGATTTCTCCAGCCAAAGCTAAGACATTAGACTGCCAAAGTCGATATTTTGTATTTCCATCCCACAAGAGCATTTGGTAATTGGATGTTAATTCATACTAAGGGAGCATGGAACATTTTTGCTGAATTCCGTATTGAATCAATGTCGACCCATTAGCTGCAGTCCCCAGTTTATTGAGCCACACGGAACTATAGGTTACCTTCAACGATTCCCCAAGGGTACAGCCTCCCCCGGATCCGCTTGCCTTTCATCTCCACAATGGTGTTACTGCCAATCACAGCAAAGGGGATGCTGTCCTGCAGGAGAACAGTGGCAATTAGGAGTCAAATAGGATGGCAGGGGTCTTCCCCAATCTTTGCTACTTCACATATATTTAGTGACCAAAGAGAGAGCATTCCTCAAAAAGGTTCAAGGAACTGCATCAACGACTTCCATCATCCACACTTCCGAATTTGGCAGTGAAGTAAGAGGTGGTGGGGTTCAGAAAAGAAAAAGGCTCGGAAAAGAGATGATCCCTGTTGCATAGTAAATAAACACGATGCACAAGTGCTTTGCATTCCATCAATTTCCTTTCGTTTATTTGTTAAGGGGATTCTTCTTTTTAAGGTATTCAGGCCAGGCATCAAAAAAAGTATAATTTATTATTTATTAAATTTTATTTGTTAAATTTATTTGCTGCCCATGTCACTGTGGGGCTACTCTGGGTGGCATCCAACAATAAAACAGGAAAAAAGTGATTAAAAAATGGCCTGTGGATTCCAAATTGAGGATCCATGTTTATAAGGCCGGCAGCAGATTTAAAGAAGGTTGTCTTCCAGCCTGCTCTCGGTCTCCAGATGGTAAGACTGCAATGTCCTAGGTTCCTGGCTGACATTCTGCAGTCCAAACACATCTTGAAGATACCAGGCTGGGGAAAGCTGTATTAAATCAAGAGCATAACTGCCTGGGATGGGAGAAGGCTGAATTATTATTTTTTTCTTAGGCTAAGAGTTTAATCCAAGCCTAGCTGCCTCTCTTTAGTATGGTTTAACTGGAATTAGAGATACATGCCTGGTTTGGAACACGTGCCTTAGTTAAAAAAAAGGCAAGCAAATATGAAACATATTGTTTTCAAATATTAGGAAAAGCTCCTTTACAGTCAAAGCATCAGCATATGTGGAATGTGACTGGGGAAAACTAGGCTTTCTTCTCAATTTGTTCTCACACAATCAGGAATATCTAGCCGAACCAGTGGATTCCGTTGTCCACACCCTCACTTTGAGTGCTTCATCCTGCTGCTTGAATTCCTCATCTTCATCTGAATCACAATCAGGAAACTGGTAGATCCGGATCCCAAAACGATCAATTTCATCACGAATCTAGAACAGAGGAACATGCCAGCAGCCAATGAAATTCAATCATAGCTTTGATTTCTATGCATGAACACGCCACCCTGAGAATTCTTCTGGAAAGCTAACAGGGGAGTGAAGAACTCGGCATTCGATCAACACCATACCCCCCAATTCCTCACACTCTCTGCAGTGGTGGTATTCTACCAATTCGGCCTGGTTCGGCCAAATCGGTAGCTCCGACGATCATCTGTGAGGGAACTGATTCACTCCGACGACCAGCTGCTGGGCCCTCCCACCGGCCCAGCTCTCTACTGATCTTTGTTTTGACCTCAGCTGCTTTTCAACCTTGGCTGCTTCGCGCGGCACACACGATTGCCGCGTGTCAGCTGTTGAACACACAGGGATAGCGCAGGATTGAAGGAGAAGGTTAGTAGCAAATCCTCTGCGCATGTGCATGTGAAGCGTGCGTGCAAAGCATGCCCACCAAGCCATGCCCACAGAACAGGTGATAAAAAAAATTGAAACCCACCACTGCCTCACTGACTCTCTCATAAAATGCACGTGGCCACTTTGAGGGAGAGACTGAAAACCATCTGTATGCTCACTTTAAAAAGAATACAGATTTCACAATGTCACAGAGTCTGGATATTGGGGAGGGAGGGAGAGTTGAGCTGGAATACAGGACAAAGTCAATGTGGGGAAGAGGGGATGTAACAGAAGAATATCGAATTAGATATTCAAGATTGTATGATCCTTATGGCCTACATTTAGCTCAGCATTTAAAACGTGAATTACAATGGGTTGTACACAGGTAGCTCAATTCAAGTTATGATGGCACTGAAAAAAGTGACCTGCAACTGGCACTCACACGGCCTGTGTCCCCACAGTCATCACAATTCAGGTACTTGGCAACCATCGTGCATGTATGACTGTCTGATAATATATTCTCTGGTAATACCACACTACAAACTAGAGCATACAAAACATTTGCTAGACCAATACTCAAATGCAGCTCATCAGTCTGGAACCCGCATTACGTATCTGATATTAGCACAGTTGAGAAAGTCCAGAAATATTTCACAAGAAGAGTTCTCCACTCCTCTAATCGTTGCAGAATACCTTACGCCACCAGACTTGAAATTCTAGACCTAGAAAACCTAGAACTACGCCACCTTCGGTCCAATCTAAGTATAGTATATAAAGTTATATATTGCAATGTCCTACCTGTCAATGAATACTTCAGCTTCAACCATAACAATACAAGAGCACACAACCAATACAAACTCAAGGTAAACCACACCAAACTTGATTGCAGGAAATGCTACTTCAGCAACAGAGTGGTCAATGTCTGGAATACTCTACCTGACCCTGTGGTTTCTTCCCCAAACCCCAAAAACTTTAACCTTCGACTGTCTACTATTGACCTCACCCCTTTCCTAAGAGGTCTGTAGGGGGCGTGCAAAAGCGCACCAACATGCCTACTGTCCCTGTCCTATTGCTTCTTTTTATTTTTCTTATATGTATCCACTTCATGTACTCATAACTATGTTTATACTTATACCTGTTATCTTATAATTGCTTGACAAAATAAATAAAAATAAAAAATAAAAAAAATAAATGTCCTACAAACACAGTGTCCTACAATCATGTAATCTTCCCAGCCAGCTTCTGATAAAGAAAGTCAATGGGGAAACCAGAAGGGATGACTGCAAGTTGCGGTCACATGTCTCACTTAACAACTGTACTGCTTAGCAACAAGCTGCATTGTGATTGTAAATTGAGGACTACCTGTATTTAATACTTTTATACTTCAGAAACAATTTCAAACTATTGGGCATTTATTTTTATTTTTTTCCCCTTTTTCAATTAGTTTTGCTTAGGTTACTCTATTTAGCTCAATGTTGCATTTTTTACATTTTTGATGGAAGTGAGAAGAGTGTCCCCGAGTTTGTTCCGATCTCCTCTTTTACCTTGCACTTCATTCGTTCCACCTCGGAGGGCATGAGAGTGTCAGCCTTGGCTAAGACAGGAACTATGTTCACACGCTGATGGAGCGCTTTCATGAATTCAACATCCAGAGGTCGCAAACTGCCAAGAGCAGACAAGAGTTCACTATATAGGTAATAAGTATATACATAATTTTGTATTTATTTATTTTGTCATATTCATGTTGTGTATATTGGAGGTGATGACTCTCTGAGAGCTGTATGCAATAAAATTTAATTTTAATGTATGCCGATTAGTGTACATTCAAAGTGACAATAAAGTTATTATTATATTCTGTTCTGTTGATTTTTATTCCTGGGAGCTGTGGAAAGAGGTTGTTTCTTTTTTGGCCAATAAACACAAAAAGTGGGGTGCCTGACGTGCTAGAATCTGTACCAATTATTTGGTGGCAATCAATGATACTCCACAAAAATAACTACAGTACTTCAATTAATTATATAAGGAAACATTAAAGAGAAAGGCAGAACTGGCAGATGTAGCCTATACTGGCTGAAAAAAATCTATATTTTTGACAAAGATGCAATATCCTTATTTCATGTAGCAACATCTGCAGAACAAGTGGTACCCCAACTTCCAGTAGGAGGCAACATTAAAAGAAGTATGGCCTTCCATTCAAATTGTTTAAGCATTATACCATTTGAATCACATGTTAGAGTTACTTATATTGAAGGCTTTGTTGTTTTCCAAGTACTTTAACCTTTCATAGATAGATAACTTTATCCTAGATCCTGATTGAATTTATCAATCTGAAGAACTTCCAAGAATTTGAATTCTATGGAGCAAGAACCCCATTAGAGAATTCTTCTCCTTTAACCCCAATGTCCATCATCCTGTGAGGAAAGACATACCATGAGGTAAAATCAATATACTATTTTGTCCCAGATAAGAATTTTAGGTGCTAAAATCAGTTTACCCATGGATGGAGTTATCTTCAAGTATATACAATAATGCTGTATTTTTAAAAAAATACCCGTATTTCCCATATATCTATTTGTAGATAAGCCCATCCGCAGACAAGTAGACTCTCAGATTGTAACCAAAATAGTATGAAAAATACAGGCCAGCTTATCCACAGGTGGTGTGATTTTCATGTTATTTTGGTTAAAAATTCAAGGATTAGCTTATCTGTGGATTGGCTTCTATGTGAATAGATATATTAATTGCACATAGCCTTTACAGGTGGTGTAGCATTCTAACTATATATAACTTCCAGGCTGGAAAACCAGGGATTTGCATATTGGAGAGCATGAGGTTAACAGGACCGGGCAAAAAAACCAAACGAACTGATAAGAGTCTTTTTAAGGAAAAGCATGTTCCGGGATCATGAATAGGTTGGTTTAGTTCATACCCGTGACCAAAAGGAGAGATGAAGTAGAGGCAGCAATGGACACGGTTGTCTTGAATATTTTTCCGGTTAAGGCCACTTTCATCCCGGAAATACTGCTCAAACTGCTGATCTATATAGTCAGACACAGGCTTCCAACTGGGAAAGAAAGAGAACATAATTTAGAATTGCTGGGTTGAAAGGGAGGCAGCCATCATGTTTGCACAATCAAAACTAAATCTTACTGTATATATCACACAATTTTAAAAAATGCTGAGTTAAGGAATTTGGAATTCCAGAACTGGTTACCCTAAACGTTTTTTTTCATACCAGCAATATAGTACAGGGCTGAGACAGGTATTATTGCTGACAATTAGGAAATCCCTGACATTTTTTTTTTTTGCAAATCATCCAAGGATCTATATCCAGATCTATTTTCTGCCAATTAAATAAGAGTTTACATTCTTTTTTTAGATAGACGAGGAGAAAGAGCAGGAAGAGGAGAAAAGTTGCATAAATGCTTGTGATATAATTATGGCGAGCTCCTCTTGGAAGCCTCAGGTTTGAATCCCACCTCTGCCAGTCTCAATATAACCTCTTGAGTTAGTCACACACTTCTCCAATGATCATCCCTAAGTAGGACATTCATGCCAGCATGACAGGATGGAAGCAAGGGAGAAATTCTGAACATCTCTTTTTGTAGAGGGGAAGGAGGGGCTTTTTAGAGTAATTCAGTAGGACTTCTAATGTGTTCATGCCTGATAAGCCATTGTGGTGATAAGACTAAATATCTCCCTTCCCTTCAGAAGTCTCCCTGCTGGTTCACAATTGCTGTAGTTCAGAAATCAGTAGAACAAGTTGAACAATTGTTGATACAGCCAAAATTAGGGAAAATATTCACTTCCTTGACACAATGTAAGAAACGAGTGGTTTTATATATTAAAGAGACCATCTCAGCGAAATTGATTTATACTGATGACGAAGGAAGAATATTAATGGTGGAAATAATGGACAATAATACGAAAACACTCCTGATTGCAATTTATGCCCCAAACGACAAACAAGAGGAATTCTATAAAAATTACATATGAAAATAGTTGAACTGGATTATGTTAATATAGTTATGATGGGAGATTTTAATGGAATTGTAGACAATAAACTGGACTACACATCACAGAAAACAATAAAGCAAAATAGAAAGACTCTCCCTAAATCTTTTTTTAAAATGGTAGATGAAATAAACTTGAAAGATACATGGAGAGAAAGAAATGCTAAAACTAAACAATACACTTTCTACTCAAATAGACACTTATCATGGTCCAGAATAGATATGACATGGATGTCAACAGAATTGTTAACTAATATTCAAGAAATAAATATTGAAACAAGTACTTGGGCAGATCACAATCCAATCACAATTAAATGGAAAGGACAAAGAAGAAGATCTATATGGACGTTAAATAATACTATTTTAAAGGGAAAAGACTTCACACAGTGGATGGAGAAAGAATTGGCCTTTTTCTTTGGAGAAAACAAAAAAGAAGATACATCAATCCAGAATGTATGGGATACAATGAAGGCATATGCCAGAGGCTTGATAATAGACTATACAAGGAAAAGAAATACCATGAAAAGGCATTAGAAGATGAGTATAAAGGACTCGAAAAAGAGCTACAGAAAATGCCACAGAGAAAGGACATTAACTTAAAAATGGATATAACCAAACATAAAATGGGTCTAATAGAAAAAGAAGAATTAGCACAAAAAATTAGAGGTGCCAAACAGAACTATTTTGAAGATGCAAATAAACCAGGTAGATGGTTAGCATATAAATTGAGAAAGGAGAAAGAATCAAGGAAAATATCACAATTAATAGATGACCAAGGCCAAGTTTGTTAGGGTAGTAAAGAGAAGAAGGAAACTATTCGAGATTATTATGGGAAACTATACACACAAGAGAATATTGATGAGGAAAGAGTTAAACAGTATTTACAGAATGCTAATTTACCCCAGATACCTAAAGAGATTGAAACAATGTTAGAAAGCAATATAACTATGATGGAGTTAATTGAAGCACTTAAACAAAATAATGGAAAGGCACCAGGCCCAGATGGACTTCCAGCAGAATTTTACAAAACATTACAAGAATCATTGAATTTTTCACTGCTAGAAGTTATGAATGAAGTTATGTTAAAGAAGAGGATACCTAAATCATGGTCAGAAGCTTATATCACACTTCCAAAAGAGGAGACCGATACATTACAGATCAAGAATTATAGACCTATCTCCCTACTAAACGCAAATTATAAAATCTTTTCTTCAATATTGGCAGAAAGACTTAAAAAATATTTAAATAATTTTATCCATCCTGACCAAAATGGATTTCTGCCAAAGAGACAAATCAAAGACAATATGAGAGTAATCTTGGACACTTTGGAATACTACGAGGCACATCCTGAAAAACAAATGGCTTTGATATTTCTAGATGCACAGAAGGCATTTGATAATGTATATTGGTGATTCATGTTATTACTGCTGGAACAGATAGGCTTTGCTAGAAAATTTATTCAAGCAATAGAAGCTATATATCATAAGCAGACGGCAAAGGTAATGATAGAGGGAGAACTGACAAAATCTATCGATATAAGAAAAGGAACAAGACAAGGGTGCCCACTATCACCTTTGTTGTTTGTGTTAACTTTGGAAGTACTAAACAGAAATATTAGAGATGAAAAGAATATAAAAGGGATGAAAATTAAAAAGGGAGAATTTAAGTTGCAAGCATTTGCAGATGATCTGGTTTTTATCTTAGAAGACCCACTAGAAACAGCATCAAAACTGATAGAAAAGATAGAGACATATGAAAAGGTGGCTGGTTTGAAAATAAATAAAGATAACACAAAGATCTTGACAAAGAATGTGCTATCAAGACAGAAGGAAGAATTGGCAGACCTATTGAAAATTCAGGTCACGAATAAGATCAAGTACTTGGGGATATACTTGACAGCAAGATGCAGTACACTAAAAGAGAATAATTATATCAAACTTAAACAGCAGATAGCGCTAGATTTGGCGAAATGGGAAAATTTACAACTGTCATTAATAGGGAGAATATCAACAATCAAGATGAATATATTAGCCAGAATTTTATATTTGTTCCAAACAATTCCAATTAGGCTTGGGAAAGATTACTTTGAAGATTTAAATAAAATTGTGTTGAAATATATATGGCAAGGTAAGAAAACGGGAATAAAGTTAAAACTTTTGCAAGATGCTAGAATAAGAGGAGGATTTGGTTTGCTTAATTGGGAGTTGTATTACCAAGCTACAAATTTGATGTGGGTTAAGGAATGGATAACATTAAGAAATACTAGATTGTTGACCTTAGAAGGACATGACCTGTTGTTGGGGTGGCATGCTTTTTTTATGGTATAAAGGAACTAAAACACAAGGGTACTTTAGAAGACATTATATACGGGAGTCTCTGTGGTTAAATTGGGAGAAGATTAAAAGACAATGTTATTTGAAAATTCCAGTCTGGCTATCGACTATTGAAGCATTTTCTTATCCTATAATATACAAAAAGGAACAAACAGTTAGATATGGTGAAATACTGAATGAAAAGGGTGAACTTAAATCTATACAAAAACTAGAGGAACAAGGTATAAAGATGAATTGGTTTTCATATGCGCAAATACATTCAAAGTATGATAAAGATTCTAAAACAGAAGGTTTCTATGATAAATTGACTGACTTAGATAAGATTTTGACAGGTACTGATGAAAAGGTGATTAAAAAATTGTATGGATATTTATTAGAAATTAAACTAGAAGAAGAACAAGTTAAAGAAACTATGATTGCTTGGGGGAAGAATTTCGGATATGGGATTGATCTAGAGAAATGGCAAAAATTGTGGTCTCAAAATTATAAAATGACAATGTCAACAGCATATAAAGAAAATTTGTATAAGATGTTTTACAGGTGGCACTTTCCCCCGACAAGAATAGCAAGAATGTTCAAAAATAAATCCAAAAAATGTTGGAAATGTCATCAGATACCTGGCTCATATTACCATATGTGGTGGACTTGTGCGGATGCTAAAAAATACTGGACTAAAATCCACACATTGTTGGAAAAAATGACAAAAAAGCATATAGATTTGAAACCAGAAATATTTTTATTGGGAATTTTACCTGAAATATATAGTAAAGACTTGAAATACCTGATTGTAAATATATTAACAGCGGCTAGGATTGTATTTGCCAAAAACTGGAAAAATGAGAAAATACCATCAGAGGAGGAAATCATTAAGAAAATATTGGAATGTGCTGAAATGAGTAGATTGACATTTGAAATTAGAGAACAAGATGATAAACAATTTTATAAAATTTGGGATCTATTCTATCAATGGTTAGACAATAAAATATAGTAATGAAATATGTAGACTTTTAGAAAATAATAAAGATATAAAGATATATTCTTTTCTTATTATATCTACAAAATGATTCTAGGATAGATCTGGGATGATAATCTGAATTGTCATAAAACAAATTAAGTAAAATATGATCATTTTGGAAAACATGAATGAATAAAAGTATAGTCAAATGATTGATTAATAATGATATTAATGTATTTAATATATTGATTGAAAATACAAGATTATATACAATGTAATTATAATTGAAGATTATGAAATGGAAGCACAAAACAATTTGTAAACCAACCGGCACACTGTATGTACATGTATGGAAGATGATTTGATGTTTTTATGTTTTGTTTGTCTATGTTTGTTTTAAAAACCAATACAAATTTATTAAAAAAAAATAATAAGAAAAATGAAAAAAAAAGAAAAGAAATCAGTAGAACTACTCCAGAAATGCAGCAGTCTCTCTTACACGTCAACACAGCTCACTCAATCTACCAGGAATAAAATTGTCCACTGACATGGTATCAAATGACCTCAGGAATGAAAAAAAACCCTGCTCCAGTTATTTTGAAAGAAATTGTATCTGACAGGACCTCAGCCATCTTTTCAAAAACATTTAAATTGATTACGTGCCATCAAGTTGGTATTGACTCTTAGCAACCATGTAGATAGATTTTCTCCAGAAAGATGTATCCCTGACTTGGCCCTCCAAGTCTTTCAACAGTGCATTTATTGTCACTCACTATAAATGAGTTCATCCACCTTGCTGTTCTTCGTCCTCTTCCCTTCCTCCTTTCCCAGCATCAGAGCCTTCTCCCGAGAGCTAGGACTTCGCATAATGGGCCCAAAATAGGATAACCGAGCCAGGTCATTTGTGCCTTAAGTTAAGAACCCTGGTTGGTTTGTTCAATGATCCATTTGTTTATTTCTTGGCTCTCCACAGTATTCTCAAAAATCTTCTCCAACACCAAAGTCAAAAAGTGTCAATACAGGTAATGCTTGAATTACGATTAGCAATTGTGGCCAGAATTTCCATTGCTAAATGATGCAATTGCAAAACATGATGTCATGCGATCACGTCGGTTTAGAGATGGCAATGCTGGCAATCCCAGTTGCTGTAATTAACTGAATCCCAAAGATTCAAAGGATCAACCCCGATCTAAGTCATTCCTGACCTGGACCCTCCTTTGTAAGGGGCTGCCGCCTCTTCAACTCCTCCCCCACCCAATCTCCCTCCACATCTCTGCGTTTTTGGCCACTTTGCATTATGCTACCTCTGTTACCCTGCTCTCTGCCTGCCCAGCCACCTTATCGCCCCACTGCCCCACACTCAATGCTCCTGCCATTTCTGCCAGCCTTGCTTCACTCAATTGACTTTCCTACTGCTACAGAAGTCCCTGGCCTAGGCCTTCATGAAGTAGTTGCTGGCCGCACTGGGTCTTTTTCCCAAACTGTGCCATTCCCCCCCCTTTCCAAATTATATGTGGTCTTCTTGTGAGATTGTACTTCTGCCTTGTGTACTGCAGTGTTCACTCTGCTTGTCACAAGCAAAAATGTGTGCCAGTTGCAAAGCACACAATCAGCAATCACGTGACTGATGAATGTTGCAACAATCATAAATCGATCGCAAAGTTATTTTTTTTAATACTGTCGTAACTTTGAACGGTCATTGTATCAGACAGTCAGTAAGCAAGGACTACCCGTAGGTTAGTCACAAGAACAATGAGTTGTTCTGGGATTCCTATTTTTCTAAGCATGTTCCACAGTTCGATGTGATCTACACAAAGGTCTTTCTATAACTAATGAAGAACATAACACTTCTTGTTGGTATTTGGCTTTCTCAATCATCCAGTGTGCATCAGCAATAATGATCTCATGTTCCTCAGCCTTTTCCAAAGCCAGCTTGAACATCTGGCATCTCTTTTTCCACAGAGGGCTCTAATCTGCATTGGATGATCCTACACATTATTGTGCTAACATGCGATTTTTTAAAAAAATTAGCAATGACTTAAGCAAAGCAAGTGCCTGAGGTCAGGGTGCCCCCTTCCTCTTTCTGCCCATACCACCCTCCCTTATCTATATCCCTGGGGAGCTGAAAAGGAAAAAAACAAACAGAGACAAAGGGCCTAGAAAGGCCTTGTTTTTCTGGGCCACTCTAGCTTCTTACCTTTGTGTAAGGCAGCAAGATGGTTGATGTGAGTGTTGAGGTCAATCTTGATCCAGAACTACTGGATTTCTGAGACAATGCCATATGCTGGATTTTTAAGCACATACTATAAACTTGGCGACTCAGTTTACAAATATCCTTTGTTTCTTTTTAATTATTATTCAGGTTTATAGAAGAGTTACAGGAACAAAGAAATCCCTTCCTCCTCCTTTTATGGCACCTAGCACACAATTGTACTTGGACACCACCAGAAAGGACCACAATGCCATTTGGAAATATAATTTTCCTCAAGGTCTGATGCATTACCAGTAAGACAGGAATTCCCTTCTAATTCAGATTTTAATTTATTTTAATGAATACTACCAGACTTCAAAATTCATATCTGAGCCCCGGATGAACAATGCATGTAAAAAAAGACTCCCTCTCGGGCAAGACTCAGTTCTTCCTAGTGCCTGCAGTAGGATTTACCTGTCCTCCAGCCAGCTGGCCTTTGTCTCTTGCAGCTTATTTTTACCATAGTCTTGGCCTCCATCCAAGGGTTAGCTCATCCCTGCAAGAAACGCCTAATGGGATTCCCTCCCTACAATTTCCCATGATTCTGCAATCAGGCTTCCCTCAAGCAAATTCCTTTCCACTTTCCAGGGAGACATACCATTCTGTGTTGTTTACAGCGTCTCCAAAGCCTGGTGTGTCCACGATGGTCAAGCGAAGTTTGACCCCTTTCTCCTCTATGTCCACCACATGCTTGGTAATCTCCACAGTCTGGACAATCCGTTCTAGACCCCAAGACAGAAAAAGGAGAATCGGAGAGGGTGTATTTGCAAAGTTCAACAAAATCAACTGAAATCTCCACTATGCAAGAATGAGATCTCTAATGGAATGCCTTTTTCCACCAGAAATAAGATCTCCTTCCTCCTTGCTGATTTTTAGAAATCTTTGGCTGCTTAAAAGAGCATCGCTCCTGCATCTTTGATTAAAAGCTGGAATTTAACAGAATCTGAAAAATCCAGAGAATGCATGCAGGAGCTAGAAATACCGGAGAATATTTGTTGCAGAATAGTGCAGAATTGGCCACAGACGTATATCGTTTCACTGACTGCTTTGTAGTTTTCCTATTGGAGATTCTTTTGAGATGTCTGTGATTTCACAGCTCTCTGTTTAACTCTGTTTTGTGCATGGCTGCTTAAAATTTAAAAGGGAACTTTTAAAATTTTCTTTTTTGTTTAAAAATAAATAAAATTAAACTTTTTGTAACTTATAAAATTGATCTGTCTTTCAAAGGAGAAGGAAACTGACTTCCTTAGTCATATCCCCTCATACTACATTGCCAGGACTAGCAACAGAGAAACTACACTGCTCAAAAAAAATAAAGGGAACACAAAAATAAGACATCCTAGATCTGAATGAATGAAATATTCTTATTAAATACTTTGTTCATTACATAGTTGAATGTGCTGACAACAAACTCACACAAAAATTATCAATGGAAATCAAATTTAGCAACCCATGAAGGTCTGGATTTGGACTTACACTCAAAATTAAAGTGGAAAAAAACATTACAGGCTGATCCAACTTTGATGTAATGTCCTTAAAACAAGTCAAAATGAGACTCAGTAGTGTGTGTGGCCTCCACGTGCCTGTATGACCTCCCTACAACGCCTGGGCATGCTCCTGATGAGGTGGCGGATGGTCTCCTGAGGGATCTCCTCCCACACCTGGACTAAAGCATCCCCCAACTCCTGGACAGTCTGTGGTGCAACATGGCATTGGTGGATGGAGCGAGACATGATGTCCCAGAGGTGCTCAATTGGATTCAGGTCTGGGGAATGGGCAGGCCAGTCCATAGCATTAGTGCCTTCATCTTGCAGGAATTGCTGACATACTCCAGCCACATGAGGTCTGGCATTGTCGTGCATTAGGAGGAACCCAGGGCCAACCATACCAGCATATGGTCTCACAAGGGGTCTAAGGATCTCATCTCGGTACCTAATGGCAGTCAGGCTACCTCTGGCGAGCACATGGAGGGCTGTGCAGCCCACTAAAGAAATGCCACCCCACACCATTACTGACCCACTGCCAAACTGGTCATGCAGAGGACGTTGCAGGCAGCAGAACGTTCTCCACGGCATCTCCAGACCCTGTCACGTCTGTCACATGTGCTCAGTGTGAACCTGCTTTCATCTGTGAAGAGCACAGGGCGCCAGTGGCGAATTTGCCAATCTTGGTGTTCTCCGGCAAATGCCAAACGTCCTGCAGTGTTGGGCTGTAAGCACAACCCCCACCTGTGGACGTCGGGCCCTCATACCACCCTCATGGAGTCTGTTTCTGACCGTTTGAGCAGCCACATGCACATTTGTGGCCCGCTGGAGGTCATTATGCAGGGCTCTGGCAGTACTCCTCCTGTCCCTCCTTGCACAGAGGCGGAGGAAGTGGTGCTGATGCTGGGTTGTTGCCCTTCTACGGCCTCCTCCACGTCTCCTGATGTACTGGCATGTCTCCTGGTAGAGCCTCCATGCTCTGGATACTACGCTGACACAGAAAACCTTCTTGCCACAGCTCGCATTGATGTGCCATCCTGGATGAGCTGCACTACCTGAGCCACTTGTGTGGGTTGTAGACTCCGTCTCATGCTACCACTAGAGTGAAAGCACCGCCAGCATTCAAAAGTGACCAAACCATCAGCCAGAAAGCATAGGAACTGAGAAGTGGTTTGTGGTCACCACCTGCAGAACCACTCTTTTATTGGGGATGTCTTGCTAACTGCCTATGCTTTCCACCTGTTGCCTATTCCATTTGCACAACAGCATGTGAAATTGATTGTCAATCAGTGTTGCTACCTAAGTGGACAGTTTGATTTCACAGAAGTGTGACTGACTTGGAGTTACATTGTGTTGTTTAAGTGTTCCCTTTATTTTTTTGAGCAGGGTATATATCATTTTATTAATTTATTTTTATTTGCTGGCGCAGAGGCTGTGGGAGCCCTGCCTACCTCACCAAGAAAAGATTTCCTCCTGGAAGACAGGTGATTGCAGGTGTAACTAACCAACAGAAAGGAAGTAAAGCCAAGGAGCAATGATCCAAAGGACTTCTGGGAGCTGAGGCATGAGAATCTTTCAGGCTTAGTATCACTGTTACATAGTTTGGCTTTATGATTATTAGATTTGGCTTATTGTCCGCTATTTGTTTTACAGTTATTGTATTTTTCCCTTTTTGTATTATATCAGTGACACAGTGGTTAGAGTGTAGTACTGCAGGCAAGTTCTGCTGACTGCCAGCTGCCTGCAATTTGGCAGTTCAAATCTTACCAGGCTCAAGGTTGACTCAGCCTTTCATCATTCCAAGGTGGGTAAAATGAGGACCCAGATTGTTGGGGGCAATATGCTGACTCTGTAGAACTGTTTAGAGAGGTCTGTAAAGCACTGTGAAGCGGTATATAAGTATAAGTGCTATTGCTAAGTACTATATTATTATGCTTTTTGTTTGTGAGGTGCTAAGACAATGTTTCTCAAACTTGTCAACTTTAAGATGGGTGAGCATCTCCCAGAATTCCCCAGCCAGCATATGCATTATGTATTAAGAGTTGGAAAATAAGAAGCATAAAGGAACATATAAACAAATAAATAAATACCTTCTGCATTTAAGAGTTTGCGATCTTTGTATAGATCTGTAAGAAAAAGGCTGTTCACCAGAGTGGACTTCCCCAGCCCAGACTCTCCTAAGAAAGAAGAGGAAGAACAGTGAATATTACAAAAAGGAAAATGAGTTCTTAAGAAAGAGTTTTTCTGAAGGAAAAAGCAGTAAATGTGAGGAATACTTTAAATAAAGAGAAATTCTTTAAATAAAGAAAACAATCAGTGGCAATTTGCATAGCAAGTTTGCATAGTTAAAGCCAATCTTCCTGCTTCTAGCTCTTTGGCGTCTGCAATTTATACTGTCCATCAGTTCACAAAAATGCTAAGAAATCCAACTGTACAATCCAATCCAATAAAAATACTGTGGAATTATTTCCAAGATCTCGTAGATTAAATGCAACAGAATATATTTTCCTCTCTCTTTAGACTTTTATACACACAATACTTAAACATAAAGCAAATGAAATTTAGCTTTAATTATAGTACTCTGCCATGAATAATGTGCTTTTAATCTGCAGCAATTATGTACTGTTTCCTGAACAGCCCTTGTAACTTCAGCATTGATACCTGCAACCATTAGTGTGAAATCAAATCCTTTTTTCACAGATTTTCGATGGACCTGATTAGGGAGTGTTGCAAATCCCACATACTCTTTATTATCCTAAGAGGGAAGAAAAAGAAGAGGGAGAAAAAAGCAGCATTACAAATTGCCAGGCCTTTTTTTGCAAGCATCATTTGTCTGAAACAGGTTTTTAAAAGTTATTCACACAATAAATTTAACTTGGTTATAGAATTAATCTATTTCTGAGTTCACGTAATGCACCAATAACATTAATTAAATAAGCTTCTATACCACAAATAAACTTTTGAAAAGTACTAAACTTCACATGCTGTGCAAATTCACCCACTCAGTCTTTAACTTGATTTGATTAAACACACTGGGTAAATACAATAATTTTATTACTGGCAAGAAACATTCTTTATTAAAGTATTTTTATGAATGACATAAATCTTATATACAAGGCTCAGGAAATGGACCTCTGTGCCTTTATACACCCACTGTTCATGTCAGTGAGTCATCAACTGATCAATAAAATAGCCCTTGTTTTATTTCTCTGCTTTCTCCAACATGGGAAATAATATGTCCAGCTTGAAAAGCATCATTTGGGGGCACTAATTTCATTACTACAGCATTTGAAGCACAGAAAACATTATTTCTAGAAGAAGCATACTCCACTTCATAAACAAAATACTCCCATCAATAGAGATGGGGAATCCAGGTTGAGTAGTTAGTTCTGTACATTCAAACCATCCATGACCACAATCATGGCCTACAACCAGTTCTACAAAAGGGAGATTTTGAAGGGGCTGAAAGCAGTGGTGGGATTCAAAAATTTTTACTACTGATTCTGTGGGCGTGGCTTGGTGGGAGTGGCATAGGAAGGATACCGTACAATCTCCATTCCCTCCCCACTCCTGGGGGAAGGTTACTGCAAATCCCCATTCTCTCCCCCCCCCCACATCTGCTTTCCAGCTCCGTTCTCCTGTGCAGGGCATCAAAAGAAGACCCAGCCAATCAGATGGGACTTAGGAGGCAGAGAATAGATGGAGGCGGGGCCAGTCAGAGGTGGTATTTGCCGGTTCTCCAAACTACTCAAAATTTCTGCTACTAGTTCTCCAGAACTGGTCAGAACCTGCTGAATACCACCTATGGCTGAAAGATGGAAGATTCTGACAGAAATGCTGCAGAGATGCTTTACCTCATCTGATTCATATGGATCAAGCCTGCCCCAGGGGCTTCTGGGACGGGATGGACTTGGCGGTGCTGGAGCAGCCATATGTTGCTGTTTCAAGTCTAGAGGATGAGGGCGGTAGAAAGCCTTCTGCTCCTTTTCCTCCAAGGCATCTTTGGGAATGGCCTGGACTGCTGCACTAGGGAACATTTCAGTCACACCTGGACAGGATTTTTTCTCCTGATGGATGGCTTCCGGCTTCACCCGACGGGAGGTCTTTTCAGTTTGGGAATCGTTAAGGAACTGGACCAGCTCAGCTTCTTCGGAGTCTTCCTTCAGAAAGTGCTTTATCTGGGCAGGAGAGCGTGGGAGAGAACAAAAACAGAAAATGATACTCATGTGAAGAGATGGACCTTGAGATGGACCTCCTGCTGTATTTGCAGGTCTTCATTCATGGTGTAGTACTGATTTCTAATACTGTGCTTCAAGATCCTTCCCTTTCCAGTGACTGACTCAAAAGCAGCAAGGAGTTCTTCTTTGTTTTTATTCACACATATGGGCAACTCTAATTTGCTTAATTTCTCGTTACAGAAATATCCTCTAACCCTTTTCTCTGATCAGTATTTCCTGACAAGAGCATTCTGGGATCGCTCCGAATCAAAAAGGTTCCTTTTTAACAACTTTTTAACTACTATGCAGTCATGTCACTTGAATATCCTTGATGCTTAATTCACCACCCACAAATTCCAGACAGGAAAGGTAAGAATCATGGAGCCTCTTTTGATCCGTAAATAATACATGCACATTATCGTTTGCAGTACTGGGAAGATAAAGGATAGTTCAAGAGGAGTTATACCCTAGGGACAAGAACCCAGACTGGGGAAAGGAGGAGATTAAATTGGGATCTGCAGAGGAAAACCGAGAATAAATTCCATCGTGTATACAAAATTCTTACTGTGTGCTCCTGGGGGATGTTGGCAGGCTCTTCAGCCTGCCCAAAGTAGCTGGGATTGGCACCCTCTTTCAGGGTACCAGCAAAAGGCATCTCTGCTTCACTGGGCTGCATCTCCTTGGAGTCTTCCAGGACAGCTATGGTTCCTTCTACCTCCTCTCCCTGAGTCGAGAGGATTGGGCAGGGCAGATGTTAGAATGAAGGGTGAAAGGAGCAAAAGACAGATAAAGCAAAGAGAAAAGCGCACAAGAAGCCCATAAAGGCTCTGGCCTCAAACCTACACGCTCAGAAGTCAAGGCCTCAAACCTACATGCTCAGAAGTCAAAACATATTTGCCTGTGGTGTTTACGCGACTCCCTGCAACAAAGATGTCCATAGTCATAGGTGTGAGGGGTGATATGTGATGTGTGTGCATCAGGGCAATCATTTAAATAATTAGGCAAATAGCTTCCTTGCTATTTTGTTACCTAAAATGAAAAGTGTGATATATCAATTTCTCAACATACAGGTAGTCCTTGACTTACAACCATACATTTAGTGACTGTTTGAAGTTACAACAGCACTGGAAAAAGTGACTTGTGACCATTTTTCAACACTTGTCAAAATGTTGCAAAAGGTGACCCCAGGATTTAGTGCCAATGTAATAAACAAATGGTTGCAAATTAAGGACGAGCTCTACTTTTAACTCAGTTCTGAACACCACCACATTTTCAGGAGGGCTCAGAGTAACTGGACGAATGAACGACGAAGGGATAAGCCCTATGAAAAGACTGAAGGAGCTGAGAACGTTTCCACTCAGGAAAAGACTAATGAGGAGACAGATGCTAGTATTTTTTCAAATATCTGAAAGGAGATATTGAAGGTCAATACTTGTGCACTCTCATTTTAGAGCTGTGTTTCTCAATCTTGGCAACTAAGATGTCTGGACTTCAACTACCAGAATTCCCCAGCCAGGTTGAGAAACGTTGTTCTAGAGTAGAGGTCTCCAACCTTAGCAACTTTAAGATTTGTGGACTAACTCCCAGAATTCTGGGAGTTGAAGTCCACAAGTCTTAAAGCTGCCAAGGTTGGAGGCCCCTGTTCTAGAGAGTAAGCTATAAGACACTGATTTAAAGTTCCAATTGAACATTAGAAAAAACTTCCTAACATTAAAAGCAATTCAATAGTGGAATCAATTCTTCCCCAAACCCCAAAAACTTTAACCTTAGACTTTCTACTATTGACCTCACTCCTTTCCTAAGAGGTCTTTAGGGGGCGTGCATAAGCGCCCCGACGTGCCTACTCTCCCTGTCCTATTGTTTCTTTAATTTTTCTTATATGTATCCATGTATTCATAACTATGTTTTTACTTATACCTATTATCTTGTAAGCAATTGACAAACCAAATAAAATAAAAATAAAATAAATAAAGTGCCTAGAGAGTTGATGGGTTATGTAGAAGGGGAGACTAAACAGGTCTCTCTCTCTCTCTCTCGAATGCTTTAACTTGGTGGCTAAATGGCTCCTTCCAATTCTATGATTCTACCTCATATCATAGGATAGAAGCACACAATTTTTGTCTCAAAGGCAGCACTTGCCCTTGAGGTGACATGCCAGGGGCCCTGCTCCAAAAAGAGGAAAAGCCAGGGGAACGCTAAATTTGATTTAAATTAATTGTCCTTGCTTCAAAACTGCCTTTTTTAGTGACCACTGCAGTTATCACAGTGATGAAAAAGAAACTTTCCAATCAATCCTCACATTTACAACTTTCACGGGTCTGTAAAGGAAAGGAAAAGAAGATCATAAGCACAGTTGCAGTTTTACTTAGTGACTGCTTTGCTTAATGACCAGGTTGCTGCTCCTAAATGAGGTTTCTAAATGAAGACCATCTGTAAATGGTGTTACCTCAAGAAAGTATATGTGGGGATTTCATGTCTGTTAAAGAACAATTTTCACTTTTTCTTACTTATGCTCATATTGCAGTAGTATTATGGTGAGGATAGCTAAGATACAACTCTGAGAAATCCTTTTGAAGAGCCATTGCAAGTAACTATCCCCCATTCATTACACTTAACCACAGAATGTACAAACACTTACTTTTGTTTAAAATACACGATAAAAGTTAAGATTAGAAATACTGTATTGTGCAGAAATGGAGGCTAAGTTAATATCAGCAACATTATATTGTACAGGAGAACTTAGCATTAGTGTTTCTGTAGTATGTTGAAGTGGGGATAAATATTAGCAATGGTTGTCTTGAGACAAGAGATTGAGCGCTGGAATTTTCGCAGTCTCCATCTATTATGTAACTTACTTTTCACTTCCTTCACTTTTGCAGTTTGCCATTTATTGCTACTATAAGTTGCTTTTGGTTAGGTGCTGGAAGAAGTGAGTGGTTGTATTAAGGATGTTCTTTTTACTGTATTAAAGTAATACAAAGTTAAACATGTCAGCATAAATCACTCCTCTAATGGTAAAGGATGTTTGCTTTCATATAGCAACATTTTTAATCAGAGCAGGTAAAAACTCAGCATTTGAACAAGTTGCTTAATAGACTTAGCCTTGAGTATTTATTAACTTCATTAGTTTTGTGGCTGAGCACTGTGGTGAATGTAATTTCCTCGCCACTCAGAATAACTCAGACATCTGTTTAAGCAAACTTGGAATCATCTTCAGAAGGGCGGCACATCTATCCTGGACAGACTGAGAAATTCCCTTAGATCAGGGCTGCCAAACTCGCGGCCCACGGGCTGGATGCATCACGCACAGCCCACGCCCATGCACGGTTCATTGAAAGGGGAGGAAAGACATATACGTCATGTGATGATGCCTTGACGACGTGAGTTTAACATCCATGCTGTAGGTCAAGAGTTGGGAACAATGGCCCTTTTATGACTTGTGGATTTCAACGCCCAGAATTCCTGAGCTAGTCTTGCTGGATCAGGAATTCTGGGAGTTGAAGCCAACACCTGCCATTGTTCCCCACACCTGCCCTAGGTCCTCCTCCTCCAGGAGACACAAACAATACTGGGTTTGTGTGCGTGTGTGTTTTCAATGAAGCACAGTTGTTGGGTGATGGTTCAGCATCCATCACCACATGGTAATTCTGGGGACCCAACCCATATGGATAGTTTCTGAATCAGTGTAATGTCCAGTAGAGAAGATGGGACAATCCTATAATCAATCCAGTTAAGGTTGCCACCAATAACTAAAAAAGCAATTAAATCTTTGAAGTGACAACAACTTCAAATATTAATCATAAACTGAAACACTGCAACAATATCCAAAAATTCAGCATACAAGCCTAGATAACCTCACAAGATCACGGAGGTTACAACCATGCTTGTGTTGGGGGGGGAAAATATATCTAAATGTGTTGTCTCTGTTTCCAATCTCTATTGTGTACCTATTTCCTCTGTTCCCAGTTGCTCCAGTCTTCTGATGTTACTCAAAGGTGGTAACATCTTAGAGATTTTACTTACCCTGAAGCTGCCTTTCAACAGCATCAGGAAAGGGGCAAATACTTCTTTTACACACTACTGCTAAGGACAAATTAAGCCTTATTTGCTCATGGGCTGGGAATGAGAACAGTGCCACATGGAGACACAACAGAAAAAGAATCATCAGGGTTATGTTTATGCCATGATTAGGTAGAAATGCAAAGAGGTCTTTAGTGACACACCTGCACAAAATTTCAGGAAAACTGAATCAGGTTTCCACAGTGTCCCATGCCCACTTCAGCTTGGATCCCAAGAACTCTGGAGCTATTCTGCTGTAGCTGGTGATAGTTGTATTTTTTAAATCTTTCCTTCTGTTTTGCCTGGTTTGAGACAACAATTACATTAGGTGCATACCATTGGAGGCCCAAAGTGTGCAACCATTCCACTCCCACCCCACAAAGCTGCAGCAGAAATAGAATTTTTATTGTGGCAGAAAGAAAGTAACCCTAAAGCTGTATTTATTTTTAGTGTATCTATGTTAGGTATAATTTAAAAGATATTGTTTGCAAACCATCCAGTGTCACCTAGGTATGGAAATTTGATATGTTAAAAATATATATTATGCTATTGTTTGTCTTGTCCCACCTACTTTTTTCTTATGATCCCATTTGTTTTTTATCTATAAATCCCAATATGCTACTCAAGGTAGAATACAGTTTAAGAAAAACTGCTGCCTGATATACTGTACATATATTTTATATATCAACTAGCTCGACACCCATGCTTCGCTACAAAACTATGTGGTCTGGCTTAGTTTTGGGGGAGGAAAATAAGGGGAAAAAAGTCTGCCTACACCATCGGTATTTGGCTAGCATCCTGTCAGTGTGTGAGAATTGAGGGCTGCATGGAAACTGAAACAATATTTGCTGTATGAGCAAGGAGACAGCAAGGAGCCTGGGTGTGGCTTAGCTCAACTGCTC